ATAATAATAATAATAATAATAATAATAATAATAATAATAATAATAATGACTCTCAAGATAGACCCTGACAATTTTGATTAGCTCTGAGTCTAAATAAAGGCTAGAATTCTTTGGAGGTGAACCATACTTTGCTGACTGTAATAACTATCTCTAACCAGGGTGGACTGATTCAGATTTTGCTTAATGTGGAATATATATGTATATATAAAAGCAAAATATCACTCATGCATCATCACAAAACCTCCAGAACTGTAAAGCCTACAGACTTGAAATTTGGCATGTAGGTTCCTCTTGGCTTCTAGGGGCTCACTAAGAAAGGATTTTTCGAAATGACCATCAGAGCATTAGTGTTTCCTATATTATTATTATTATTAACACACTCTGATGCTAAGAAGTTCTACTCCCACTCCCACCTGAAAAGAAATCTGTTCCAAATGCAAAACACGAGCAGAGGAGAGGAGTTTCAATTTCAGTTTCACAGCACCAAGCAGCTTTAGTGCAGAACAGTTGAGCTCAGCCATGCCCAGTGCTCCTTGCTGTCTCCTTCTTGCTCACACAACAAATATACTGTTATGGTTTCCAAACACCCCTCAACTTTCTCATACACTGACAGGACACTAGCCAGATGAATACCGATGGATGCTGATAGGCAGACTGAGGCAGATTTTTTTTTTTCTTATATTCCTCCCCAAATCTAAGCCTGACCACATGGTTTCGTAGCGAAGCACGGGTATCGAGCTAGTTTCAAAATATATCTGAAATGATGTTTTGCGTTGCTCGTGGAAATGTAAAAATTGGGTAGACATTCCTCAGCATGATTCTTCCACCTTTGGTGGTAGGAGAGGCCTTCCAAAAGGAATTACAGGTAGACAGACCTTGAGTTACGACCACAATCAAGACTAGGCTTTCCATTGCTAAGCCAGACCATTGTTAAGCAAATCGCATCCAATGTTATGACCTTTATTGTCATGGTTGCTATAATGGGATCACATGGTCGTTCAGCGATTCTGGCTTCTCCCCATTTGTTGGAAGTCAGCTGATCAAGCTGTAAGCGATGATCACATTCCGGGATACGGAAGTCATCCTAAACACATGCCAGTTGCCAATTTTGTCCAGGTGTCTGTAGGGATGCGGCAACAGTCATAAGTGTGATCAAACTGATCAAAAGGCTTTCCCCACCCCCAATCCTATTATAACAGTTGCTAAGCAAATGGCTTTAATTGCAGATAACCTGTATTATATGGGTTCATGCATGTATTTTTCAAATATACCTCCCTAGTATGGATAGTTCTCGATTACGGCCACAATTTTGCCCCAAATTAACAAGCTGTTGATTTTAACCGTAACAAACAGTTGTTCATTTTAACAGTTAATTACAAATTAAGGGACTTTTGCCGCCATTTTACGACTTTCCTTGCCACAGTCATTGAGTGAATCACTACAGTGATACAGGTAATGAGGTTAAGGTAATATCACCTGGTTGTTGAGTGAATCTGGCTTCCCCATTGACTTTGTTGGGAGGTCTCAAAATGTGATCACGTGACCCCCCGGGCCACTGCAGCCGTCCTAAATACATGCCAGTTGCCAAGCGTCTAGATTTTAATCCTGTGAGCAACGGTCGCAAGTGTGAAAAAGGGTCATACGTGACTTCTTTCTCAGTGCCGTTGTTGGCTTTGAATGCTCACTGAGCAATTGGTTGTAAATTGAAGGCTTACCACTTGGGGGAGGGGGAAGAAGACCTGGTGAAAATCCAGGCTCTCCTCTGTTTGTAAAGAACCAAGAAATGAGCGGATTGTTTTTATTCTTTGTGAGACATTCTTGTGTGGCTCTTGATAAAAATAGAATCCCCAACATGATTGCCAATGTCTGATGAATGATTTGGTACAAGGAGGAGGAGGAGGAGGAGGAGGAGGGGGGAGACGTTTTTGTACGCTGTTGATAAAAATAGAATTTCCATCATGATTGCCAATATCCGATGCATGATATGGAAGATGAAGAAGGAGGAGGAGGAGGAGGAGGAGGAGGAGGAGGAGGAGGAGGAGACATTTTCATGCGGCTGTTGATAAAAATAGGATCGCCATCATGATTGCCAATGTCTGATGAATGATATGGCACAGGAAGAAGGAGGAGGAGGAGGAGGAGGAGGAGGGAGACATTTTGGGGAAGTAGAAATTAGAATGCATTCTAACCACTAGGGATGCAGTGGTTAGAATGCAGTATTGCAGGCAAACTCTGCCCACTGCCAGCAATTTGATCCTGACCGACTCAAGATTGACTCAGCCTTCCAAGCTTCGGAGGTTGGTAAAATGAGCGCCCAGATTGTCGGGGGCAATAGGCTGACCTTGTAAACCACTCAGAGGGTGCTTTAAAGCACTGTGGAGGAGTATATAAGTCTTAAGTGCTCTTGTCCTTGCTAACTTAGCCATTTCAGTGAATGGCACCTCAGTGGCTAAGAAGGTGAGCTTGTCGATTAGAAAGGTCAGCAGTTCGAATCCTTAAGTGAGATGGATCAGTTTTCTCCATTTGAATAAACAACCTATTCAAGTAAAGTTCTCACTTAAATACAAGCTTTGCATCTAGTAAACCTGACAATTAGCAGTGGCCGACCAATTTTGATTTGACCCAGAATAAACTAAAAAGTCTCTCACATGATATTCTTTAAGGCAAGTAAGGCAAAATATTTCAATAAAAGTACAGTACTCTTCAAAAGGGACAAAGTGGCTCAGTGGCTAAGACACTGAGCTTGTCGATCAGAAAGGTCGGCAGTTCGGTGGTTCGAATCCCTAGCGCCGCATCACGGAGTGAGCTCCCATTCCTTGTCCCAGCTTCTGCCAACCTGTCAGTTCAAAAGCATGTAAAAATGCAGGTAGAAAAAGAGGGACCCCTTTGGTGGGAAGGGAACAGCGTTCCATGTGCCTTCAGTATGACTGTGGCCATGGAGACATCGTCAGACAGCGCTGGCTCTTTGGCTTTGTAACGGAGATGAGCACTGCCCCCTAGAGCTGGAAATGAGTACCACATATACAGATAATCAGAGTTGGAAGGGGCCTTGTAGGTCATCTAGTCCAACCCCCCCACCCAAGCAGGAGACCCTACATCATTTCTGACAAATGGCAGTCCAATCTCTTCTTGAAAGTCTCAACTGATGGCGCTCCCACAACTTCCGAGGGCAACTTCTGTTCCATTGGTTGATTGTATCTGCTAGGGGAACCTTTATCTTTGCCTGATGCTCTGAATGTGTATATGTTATATGTACATGTGTGCACAGTCTTTTTTTTAACTTTTAGCCAGTATGTTCTATAAGGCTGCTGTTGCCTTGCTTTCAAGGATTTCTTTCTTCTGGCTCTTTCATTTTTTTCCTGACTCCTCCATTTGAGTGTCTGTTTAATGTTAAACTGTTTATCTGGGAGGGAATCTGGCAGTGTTTTGGGGGGCGGGGCTTTATAACAGCATCATAAATCCTTATTCAGGACAGTAGTTGAGCATTTCCAGAGAGGGTGCTTAAGATAGCAGCTACATAGGAATGAGCTATGCCCTTTAATTCTTCTGAAGAGCCTCATTACTCCCTTAAAAAACCAAGTTACTTAGAAATGGTGGAGAGTTGGAAACCTCTCTTGAAAGTTGGGAGAAGAATTGCGCATTGCAAAATCGGTCCATGGATGCAGTTGGAATTAAGAAAGGCAATTAATTCTCTCTCTGGGGATTTATTCATCATAAGCATAGCTGCTCTGCTTTGTCCTATTTCTGTTCACTTTCTACATGCAGAAATCATACACATTGCTAGCAATCTCTTTCTTGAGATGCGATCTTTCTTGAATAGACCCAAAACATTGCTATCCCTGCAAGAAAGAACTGTTTGTAAGTCGAGGGAAAATAGAATATTTCATTCAGTTCTGGTCACCATGATACGAAAAGGATGCTAAGATCCTAGAACAGAGGTCTCCAAACTTGGCAACTTTAAGACTTATGGACTTCAACTCCCAGAATTCTCCAACAGCTGGTTGGAGAATTCTGGGAGTTGAAGTCCACAAGTCTTAAAGTTGCCAAGTTTGGAGACCCTTGTCCTAGAAAGTATGCAGAGAAGAGCCACAAAACCGATTAAAGATCTGGAGCAGAGGTAGTATTCATCAGGTTCTGGCCAGTTCTGGAGAACCAGTAGCGGAAATTTTGAGTAGTTTGGAGAATCAGCAAATAACACCTCTGACTGGCCCTGCCCCCATCTATTCTCTGCCTCTGGAGTCCCAGCTGATCTGCTGGTTCGTCTTTGGTTGCCCTGCACAGGAGAACGGAGCTGGAAAGCAGGTTAGTGGGGTGGGGAAGGAATGAAGATTTTGCAGTATATCCTTCCCCTGCCATGCAATGCCCATCAACCCATGGCCACAGAACTGGTAGTAAAAACATTTGAATCCCACCATTGATCTGGAGGCTAAATCGTTGTGATGAACAGTTTAGATTCGTCAAACTTATGGTGGAGAAAGA